GCCTCGTTCCTTATTTAGGGTTCCTTAGGTCAACGCCTCGACGGTACCTGCCAGACCAGCTCCCCCCAAGGCGAAGCCTCTGCCCCAGAGGCCCAGAGGCCCCACTGGGGCCTCGGCGACCTCGGACCCTTTGGGCGCGCGCGCCTCCCCCCCCTACGGGAGGGTTCTCGCAGAGGGGGGGGGGCGATCCCACGGTGAGGTCAGGGGGGACGGGCCCAGCCGGATGCTCGCACGTCCTCCTCCCGGGGGGCGCCGGGAGCGATGTTCCTCTGACCCCACTTCTGCCCCTGCCCCCCCCCCGTGCACGTCCCCCCCTTGACCCCCCTCCCCGATCATCGGATGCCAGATGTCTCTGGCCGCGACCGACGAGGCCTGGTCGCTACTGACTTAGTTTCGGGAGCGGTCAAGAGGGGGGTGTCCAAGAGGGGGGGTGCAAATCATGACCGGCGCGGCCCAGCGAGAGGCCAGGGACGTAATGAAACAAGAAGAGGCGCCATAAAATCTGGGGAAATATCATGGCCCCCGCCATGATATCCACCCCCCCTAGTCATCAGCCCCCTCTTTGCCGCCCCCGAGCTTCGGTCAGGATCGCTCTGCTTCAGCATCGACCTCCCATGGGGCGTCTGACGTCCTCCCGCGCGTCCTCTCCAGTCAAGCGCGGCTGCACCCAGGGGGGGCCCGTTGAGGCCAGCCAGCTGTGGCTGCCTCTCGGGCGGCTGCCTCCGTGCAGCCCCCCTGGCCCCTCGCCGGCCTGGAGGCGGCACTGGGCCGCTCCTGACAGCCTTAAGATGCGCTCCTCCAGGATGGGCTCCAAGCGCGGTCAACACGGACAGTAAGGGTGCGCGGTGAGGATGCAGGGGCGTTGGACGCCCATGCCGAGGCTTCTCGAGCGCGGCCCGCCACCGAAAGAGATGGAGGATGGACCGAGAAGGCAAGGATATGCAGGGGTACCCCTTGGGCCGGTGACCCGTCCCTACCATCTATCGCTTTCGACTGCCACGGGGTCGGAGGCTCGTGCCGCATCGCCGATGCACCATCGATTCAGGGGGACGTGAGACCTGGGTACAAGTTACTCGGAAATTCCCGACGAGGTCGTCAAAAAAATGACGAGGCCGAGCCTGCATTTCGACGAGGCCTCCCGCTGCCGACATCCTACGAAACTCCTGCTCGTCAAAATCCGAGGCGCGGCCGTCAAAAAACGATGGCGAACCCGAGTCCTGGCAAACCCGGGTCTTACGCTCCCCCGATCGATGCATCGGCGATGCATCGGCGGCGTCGACGATGCACCGGCGACGCCTGCGTGGACGAAAGTCGGCCTCCGCGTCGAGCCGCCTCGCCGGTGCATCGTCGACGCGGCGCGACGGGACCCTCCGGCCCCAGCTGCTCCGACCCCATCTGCACAGGGGACCACACCTGCACGAGAGAGAGAGAGAGAGAAAAAAAAAAAAAAAAAAAAAAAAGAGAGAGAGAGAGAACAAAAAAAAAGAGAGAAAGAGGGAGAGAGAGAGAGAGAGCAAACAAAAACAAAAAAAACAAGAGGAAGAGGAGCGGAGCAGAGGAATGGAGCGACCAGAGCAGTTCCTTTCCCGTCCCTCCGGGGGCCGCAAGCCCGGCATACCCACCCATCGACTGCTCGTAACGAACGAACGAACGAACGAACGCACGAAGCTGCCGACGCCGGGAGTCCGGCGACCCTACAAGGGCGGCAGGCGCGCCAAACGCGCTGGCCTCCGGGGAGGCTGGGTAGCTGACCCCAAGTGACCCTTGGTGCGTGGACTAAGGGAATGCAAAGCGGCCAACTCCGAGCGCAGAATCAGCCGCTATCGCATCGCGCTCAGCGATCGGGGAGGCCCCGATGAGCCTGCCCCAAAGGTCGCTCCCACGAAGGGTCAAGCTTACGCACGGAGGCCCCAGATCCCCGACATCATGATTTTTTCATAACCTCGATCCCCAAAGGACTGGACCCCTCCCTGGGGACCGGCTTCTCATTCCGAGCCGTTCTTTCGAAAGTCCCGGGGCCCGGCGAGGGCCCCCGGAGGCCGAAAAGAATGCAAAAAGTACCGTCGTGATGTTTCAACCACGTGAGGGGGTCTGGGGCCTCGGACCCCCCTGGGGCTGCGCCGGGGCCCTCGGCGCGTTCTTGCCCACATTACGTGAGGGTCATTCCGACGAAGGGCCACTCTTACGTGCAGTCGGACCCGAGCGCACACGCCGCTGCCCTCTGCTACCGCAGCGGGCTCAGCCATCTGAGGGCCCCGGTGTGCCCGCACTGGAGGTCACTCCGACGAAGGGTTATACTCTTGCGTGCAGTCAAATCCAATCTGGAGCTGGCCCCAGACCCCCGGCGTCATGATTTTTTCATAACGTCGATCCTCAGAGGCCCGCATCCCTTCCTGGGGACCGGCCTCTCATCCCGAGCCATCTCTTGACGGTCCGGTCCCGGGGCCCGGCGAGGGCCCCCAGAGGCCGAAGAGAACACATACTATACCTCCCGTCGTGCTTTTTTTCTCCCGCCACGCGAGGGGGTCTGGGGCCTCGACCCCCCCCCATCGGGCTGTCAGGGCACTCGGCGCCGCGTGGCGCGTGGCGCGGTGCGGCGCGGTGCGGCGCGGTGCGGCGTGGTGCGGCGCGGTGCGGCGCGGTGCGGCGCGGTGCGGCGCGGTGCGGCGAGGCACGCCCGGGCGCCGAGCGCGTCGCCGTCGCCGCCGCCGCCGCGGCTCCTCCGCGCCGTCGCCGGGCAGCACGCCGAGCACGCTTCGGGCCAGGCCCGCGGCCATGCCGCCGCCCTCGCCGCTCATGGCGGGCGGCGGCGGCGCGCTGCCGGCGGCTGCCGCCGCCCGCTGGGGGCCCGCGCCTGTCCGGGGCGCCGCGGAGGGTCGCCGTCGCCTCGCCGTGCTCGTCGGCGTCGTCCTCGTCGCCGCCGCCGCCGCTGTCGCCTTCGGCCTCGCCGTCGCCGCCGCCGCAGTCGTCTTCGTCCTCGCTGTTATGGTCGCCGTCGTCGTCGTCGGGGGGAGAGAGGGGAGGGAGGAGGGAGGAGGGAGCATCGATGAGGCAGGAGGGAGGGGCAGGGACGAGGGAGGAAGGAGCGAGGAGGAGGAGGAGGGGACGGAGGACGAGGGGGGAGGCGGGCGACTACTAGCATGGTCAGAACGAGGAGCCACATCAGGAGAAGACGCCGAGCAGGAAGAACAGGAGGGCGCGCAGAGGGTGGAAAGGAAATCCGGAGATCGACGAGGTGGAGGGGCAGGTTCCGCGGATACGCTTCTCCCTCGTCCCTTCTCTTGCTACTCGCGCGTCCACAGCCTCGTCGCGGTCCACGTCCTCCTCCGCGTCTGCCTTCGCCGCCCCCTCGGGCTCCTCCTCCCCCACGGGGCCCCTTCAGGTGCCCCCTCAGAGGCCCCTCCAAGGGGCCACGGACCAAGGGGCCTCTTCAGGGGGCTCTCTCAAGGGCCGTCTCCAGGGCCTTCTGAGGAAGGAGGCTCTTGCGGGCCTCCTAAGGGGCCTCTTAGGGGCCTCCGAAGGGTCCTCTCAAAAGGCTTCATAAAGCTCTGGAGCCCCTAAACCATAAAACTCTGGAGCTTAATTTTCTAAGGCTCCAGAACTGAAAGGAACCCAAAGGGTGTACGACCTTCAACTCCGGAGTGTAAAATTTCAAACGCTGGATTCCTGGGATTTCCCCATCCTTCGCCTCCTCCTCCAACTCGACGTCATCGACGTCATCGACTTCGTCGTCGTCGTCGCCCATCCTCATCCTCATCCTCGTCCTCCTCATCCTCCTCCTACTCCTCATCATCATCATCAGCATCATCAACATTGTCGTCGTCATCGTCGTCATCGTCATCGTCATCGTCATCATCGTCATCGTCATCATCATCATCATCATCATCATCATCAGCATCATCATCACCACCACCATCACCATCACCATCACCATCATCATCATCATCATCATCATCATCATCAGCATCATCATAATCATCATCATCATCAGCATCATCATCCTTATCATCATGAGCAGCAGCACCGTCATCATCATCACCATCAGCATCAACATCATCATCATCATCATCATCATCATCATCATCACAATCAGCAACATCGTCATCATCACAATCAGCAACATCAGCATCATCATAATCATCATCATCGACGTTTCCATCGCCATCACCATCACCATCATCTTCATCACCATCACAATCAACCACGATCACCATCATCATCTGCATCATCAGCAGTCTTTTTCCATCCCTCCTCAGCTCTCGTCCTCCCCTCCCCCTTCCGGCCCCCGCCCTGCCAACTCCTCCGCCCGAGCTGCGAGTGCAGCCGCCACGCTGGCAGCTCTCGACCACCCGCCGGTCTCGCGTGCAGGAGCACGGAACAGCGGCACCACCACCACCAGCGCGAGGAGCCAGGGGAGGTCCTCGTGTCGGTGCGGTCCGCCCTCCCCGCTCGAGAGACACCCCCGACCACCCGCTCGGGGGGGCAGCGTGGCGTTCCTGGCTGGAGGCGGGAGCCCCTGGCTCAGCGGGGGGCATGCCGATCCCAATCCCCGCTGGCGCCAAAAAGGGGCCCTAGGAGGGCCCAATGAGGGCCCCGTTCTTCACCCCCCCTTTGGGTCACCCCCCCACTGCCACCCGCCCGAAGCCCGACGTCACCGCGGGGCACGCCGACTTCCGGTGGGGGGGCGCCCTTGAACATCGAAGAAACGCGATCGAAGCCGCACGCCCCCCAGCCCGACGTTTGGGGTGGTCTGGGGCCTTCGGGTTGTGTGAGGGCGGCTTCTCTTGGGACGCACGGAGACATACTACTAGTAATATGTGTCCTCCTTTGAGGCGCGCGTCCGACTCGAACATACATCTATATACATACATCTATATAATATATAATATAAGTTCTCGGTGCGCGCGTCGCCCCTGGGGGGGCCGAACGGCAGAGGCAAGCAGGAAGGGACGGACCGAAGCCGTGCGCGAGCGCACGCGCTTTGCCGCCCTCGCGAGCAGGCGCGGGCGGGCGCTCTCCCCAGGGGGGCCGACGGCGGCGCACTATACGCCACGGCCCCACCTGTGCGCCGAAGGCCACAGGGCCGTGCCCTAGTGCAGGGAGGAGGAGGAGGAGGAGGAGGAGGAGGAAGGAGGAGGAGGGGAGGGGAGGAGGAGGGGGAGGAGGAGGAGGAGGAGGAGGAGGAGGGAGGAGGAGGAGGAGGAGGAGGAGGAGGAGGATGAGGAGGAGGAGCGAGGAGGAGGAGGAGGAGGAGGAGAATATCGAGAAGGAGTGGCAGAGGGGGAGGAGGGGGGGCACCCGCGCGCTGGCCACACGGCCGTGCCCTGGCCCGGGCTCCCACGCCGGACGGGCGGGTGGTGACGGGGGGGCTCTCCTGGCCGCGGCGAGCCTCGGCACGCGAGGAGAGCCCGCCCAGGCGCCAGGCGCGGCCCAGGCCCAGCCCGTCCCCCCTCCTCCCTCCTCCTCCTCCCCCTCCTCCTCCTCCTCCTCCTCCTCCTCCCCTCCTCCTCCTCCCTCCCTCCCTCCTCCCTCCCTCCTCCTCCCTCCTCCTCCTCCTCCTCCTCCTCCTCCTCCTCCTCCTCCTCCTCCTCCTCCTCCTCCTCGTCCTCGCGCTTGGAAAGAATCACGACGGGAGGCGTTCCGTCCTTTGCGGCCACCGGCGACCCTTCTACCGGGCCCCGCGAGACCGTGAGGAGACGGCTCGGGATGAAAGAGCGGTCCCGCGGAGAGGGGTCGAGACCTCTGGGGGTCGACGCTGTGGCAAAAAATCACGACCTCGGGGGTCTGGGGGATGGAGAACGGGGCCCGAAGGGGGCCCCTTTGGGGCCCCTCTTGGAGCCGGCAGGGGCCCCAGAGGGGCCCTCTCAACAGCCTCGTGGGTCCAATTCTTCAGGCGCCTAGCGATCGACCCGGGCAGCTGACAGAGGGACCACCCTTTTCAGCTCCAGGGACACCTATTACGCGAACTAAAACACCCCCCGCCTGAGGCCCGTAGCATCCACGGCTCCGAAAGCTAGACCTACTCAGGGGACTCTGGAGAGGACACTATCTCTGAAAAATTTGCTTAGGCCACCCCCAATTACCACCCGCCCGGCCTGGCCAGAGGAACAGACCACGGCATACGGTAGGTTTGCGCGGCGTAGACGCGCGCAAAGGTCTTTGACACCGCGTCGATCGTTCAACCTTGAATCGATCGCGGCCCCGATCGTTCAAGGTTGAATTCCGTCGGGTCCAACGGCGTCAAAATGTCCCTCGGTACGTCCGCGTCATTCTATCATGAGGAATTCAACCTGAAACGCCTTCGCAAGCGTCGCGGGCGCGCCATCGCCGCACGAACCTACCGTATACACATGCTCTGAGGTCCGCGCAGATCTCTTGCATCGGCGCTGGACCCCAGGGGCGGCGCCAGAGGCGCCACCACCAGGGGGGGCCCAGCGCAGATCCGAGAAGTCCGCCCCGAGCTCCGAGAAATCACGGGTATGCAACTGCTTCGTCTCCGACTAGCGCCTGGGCATCTCTGGCCCGGGCACTGCCTGTGCTCGGACGAGAACGGCCGAGCCGAGACAACGCGCAGACTCCAGCAGCCGTGACTGCGCCAGGCATCTCGGGCCTTCGCCGAGCTGCACCTGGAGCAGGGGCCCCGGGAACATTAGTCGGGGGGAGGAGTCTAGCACTCCTTCCCCATACAAAAAAATGGTATACGGGCAGGTTCGCGTCGTGTCGACCCCGGCGTTGTTTCCTGACACCGCGGGGATCATTCAACCTTGAACGATCGGCCGTTCCCGAAACGTCCGATCGTTCAACATGGACAGACTGTGGGTCGCGGGCGACGGCATCGTTGAACGCCAGCGGCGGGATCGCAGCAGGTCGACACGACGCGAACCTATCGTTTAGGAGAGGGGGCATCTTAGTCCCTGGAAGGGAGGCCAGAGCAGTGAGCCACTGAAGCGGTCAGGCTTAGCCTCTGTGATGTGTTTCCGAAAGGGACGCCGCCGAAAGGGACGTCTGAGTCCGCGGCGTTCGCTGCACTTGAGACTTCGGAGTGCGAAAGAAAGCGTCACACGACGACCTTGCGGGCGAAGCTGGGTGGACTTGAGAAGTCGACATCGCCCGTTTCAAAGTCCGTTCCCTGGGGTCCCGTTCGGAAGCACACGACTCTGTGCGACCCCTTGTGCACAGCTCGGCCTGGGGCGTTCCTTGACCTCTCCCTTCCTCCACCGTGCCTTTGCTCGGACGTCCACTCCCCGTGCCCTGGTTGGCCTCGTGCGTTTTGCTTGTTTGCCAGACGATCCAGGATGCTCCTCCTCGATGGTCCTCGCCGAGAACAAATGCACACGTCCGAGCGATGCCAAGCCACTGCGGCACCTCGACCCCGAAGCCGTCGCGTGCGACCGCTGGCGAGGGGGCAGCAAGGCCACGACGCGAGCAGGGGGCCGCCGCGGCGACTCCGAGAGGCCCCCCCCTCCCTGCTGCCTGCCCTGCGCCCACCCCCCTCGGCGGTGCCCTCCAGCTCGCTCCCTCCCTCCCCCCCTCCTTCCACCACCTTGAGGAGCAACGCAAGAGTACCCCTGACCCTGTGGGGGGGGTGTCCTGAGTTCAGAGGGCCAGATACATTAGGGACAGCGGGGCCTCTTTTTTTCTGCAGATGCACCAGGCACAGCCGCCCAGATGTATGATCCCGACTGCGAGAATTGGGGCCTCAGTGAGGCCACGTCTTCATCGTGTCACTAGGGTTAGGGGTTCTTGTATTCTCGATAACACCTCTTCCATCACGCTTCTCTCCAATCCCGACTACCCTCCTTCCCACCCTTGTGCTCATCGCCACTTTCATTGTCTACGTCCTACTCGTCCGCCTTCTTCGCTCCCCGCTGACCGTCGCGAAATTTAGGGAGCGCTGCTGGCAAGTCCCAGTGTGGCCCCAGCGAAAAACACGGATGTCACAAGAGAGACTTTGGACGAGCACCGTAACGATCACGCTGGACTTGCGCGCTGCGCCTGGGTCAACGCGCTGAGCAACACCAGGCCCCCTCTCCCAGGTCGCCCCCCACACCACAGCCCGAAATCCTTTTGAGAATGGTCGACCTGCTTCCACAGACGCGTCCCGCCGTGCCCCCAGTGGAAGCGCCCGGTGCCTCGCAAGACCTCCCCCGACGACCATCCATGGTCGACTCTACCGCCCCCTCCCCTCCCCCGCCTCCTCCCCTCCGCCCGCACGCGGCAGCGCGAGGAGCGGGTTGGAGGGGGATGAGAAGAGAGGAGGGAGCGGGATCAGCGAGGAAGGATGTCGAGAGTCTTGGGAGTGCAGGGGGGAGGAGGGAGGGAGAAGGAGGGGAGGGATGCGGGCGGGCCCCGCTGGGGTCCACCGAACGACGTGGCCCCATTGACGGGGAGAGAGCCCGAGCACGCAAGCGATGGAGAGAGGCGACCAGCCCCCCAGCGAGGGGCCCAAAGGCCGGTGCAACCGAACGCGGGGCCGAACGGACGATGTCGCCAAAGGCCCTGCCGACGGGTCACCTCGACGCACGGCGCAGCCAATCAGCCAAGGGCCAGCCGAGAGCGCGCGCGCGCGTCGGGGAAGGGGGGAGGATGGCCTTTTGGACCCCTTCTCCCGAGGCACCTTGCAGACACACGCACGGGCCCACACACACATGCGTTTCTTCCGGCGTGCCGATGATTTTTTTGCGGACGGGATGGCAGTGGCGGGACACGTTCGAAGCTAATCGACCACTTGCACACGAACACACACACACACATCTATATATACATACATATATATAGAAATAAACACACACACACACACACAGACACATACACACACACACACACACACACACACACACACACACACACACACGCACACGCACACGCACACGCACACGCACACGCACACGCACACGCACACGCACACGCACGCACGCAACCCCCAAGAGACGCCCGAAGGAACGAATAGCAGGCCTGAACTACTCCCTACCACCCCCTCTTACTATTGTGCTCCCTCTTCTCCTCCTAGTCCGTCTCGATGTACACCTTCACTGTCTGCAGACTGCTACTCTGCCCCCAGAACGTCCAGGGCGGCCCCAAAGCGAGCCGATCCTGCGCCAGCTCGGGCCCTATCTTGGCGTGTATGTCCCTACAGCAAGTGCTCTTGCGTTATGCTTCTTGCCAGAAACAGAACTACAACATTACAGCCTCTGCCTGCAAAATACGAAAGCACTGATATCGCAATGCGTGGATTCAATTCGAGTTTTGAAACCGGTAGCGCGACCTCACCCGAACATCACCATGAATGGTCACCATTAAAAAAGACCATAGGTTCCCAATCTTCAATCGGCAATCTCACTTCCAGCCCTGAACTTGCCCTACGGGGAAACGCGCGCAAAATGACTGCGATCAAACGGGCTTCGTTGTCACGCCTCTCGGACCGATCTACATCCTCCTCCAGATTATCCCCTCTTCTTCGCTTGCCGTCAGAAACACAAATGCATAGCATGTTCAGAAGACTTCGACTGTCCCATCGAACCACTATCACGGTCGAATCCGCGTCGAATATATGCCGAACGTTGAATCTGCGTCGACTCCACTCCGAGGCCGCACCAAATCCACGTGGAATCCACGTGCAATACGTGTCGAACCCGCATCAGAAATGGTCACAATTTTTGGGACAGCCAAAACCTGACGAAAATGCACCGTAACCTCAACTCCACCATCGCCCGTACCCGCGAAGGCGCCCCTGCTGCGGAATGCACTGACCCAGAATCTGATTGACTCAAGAAGCGGATTCCATGAGCCAAGCACGAGGACACCTTCTGAGCCTCGGCTGCCAAGGATGCGCGTTCCGTCGCAACTGTAGCTGGCCAACGCACGCAACATGGCAAGAAGACAAGCTGATGTCCCAAACATCTCTCGCCGCGGCAACTGTCTCGTGCTGAATTGCGACTGTAATGTGTAAGAGCACGTTTCGGAGGCCGCCGGCTAGAGAATGCATGCAGGCGAGGCAAACAGCGAAAGGCGGCACCACGCCAGCACAGCTATGCAGACCCAAGGACGCCGTATAACCTAGCCGAATCGCCGAATCGCGTCGTAGAGTTGTCCTTGGGGAGACAGCCGGTTGGCCTATGTGCGAGCCTCGTTAAATTGATCGTCATCCTCCTCCCCCTCCTCGCACTTAGGCTCCAGAGAGCCAGCGTCAGCATATGTTCGAGCAGGTCATGCAAAAAACGAGCACCTCGTACTTGCAGCCAGCACCATGAATATGGTTGAATGTGCCTGGCATAACACCTGGGCAATTACTGGGCCAACCATGCCCAAACAACCCAATGTATCGGCACACGGAGCAGGAACCGTGCAAGCCCCATGGGAGTTCGAAATGAAGCGATGGGCCAGGAAGGCTAGGGGGATTATCTTGATGGCTGGCGCATGGGTACGGCCCGACCAGGGCTTTGGCACGGACTACGCCTGGAACCACACATGGTTGCACGCGTGCGTGAGCAGCACCCACAATGTGAGGCACTCCTCCCTTCTGCCTCCTCCCTCCGTCTCCTCCACCTATTACGCCTCCTCCTCTAGCGGGAGGCAATGAGCCCTACTGTTTCAGCCCATTCTGGCCGTCAATCTCCAGATGCGCCACTTGGGACGCATTCGGCCCACCGCCACGGACAAGCGGCAGCAGCAAGGTGCATGGTGCTACCCATGCCCAGCATGCTTGTCCGATAGCTGGTAACTGTGCGCATGCCTGTCCACACACGGCAACCAAGTAAGCACTGATTCCTGATGCCCATTCCCACGCACACACAAACTGCCACATTCCCACACCTACGTAATCCAAAGAATAGCTACCACACGTCGGCCAGGCGGCTAGCCCTAGCTGTCTTCTTTGAACTGAACGGCGCGCAACTCATTTGCACGATGACCTCTGTCAGACTCTTGCTGATTACGTATGACCGTGCTGAACAATCAAGTTCCTAGCATTGCGATGTAACGCATTACCTATCTCACGAACTCTTACGCTAGACTACACGATCGCCCTTGAACGGCATATCCGATATCGCGTCGCGTCTGTCAGCTACTTCCGATTCGCAAATGTAACTTTACCGGGGTCAACATGCCAAAGCTCGCCATACATTCAGCTCAGCGCGCCTCAGCTCACATCAGCATCGCTGGGACACTCTTGCCTGAGCCTGCCCAAGAATAACGAAGCACTTCCAAGTATATGCTCATTCACGCTCAACGGGAATCGTTGCGTGCCGAAGCCCCGCTTAATTGGCTTACTGTAAGATTTACGCGGCATACTGCAAGCTTGCTACACTATACCTGGGGGCGGGGGGCTTGTCCATCACAGAAGGTGCGGTACCTGCTGTGGAACACGAATTGCCTCAGCCTGCACAATCTTCGCTCACGCTCAGACGTGATCCGATCACAGTGGGCTCGACGTGGCTCAGGTCGTTTAGAGTAGATCGTAAATCACATGCTAACTCGACTCCCGATCTGTGTAGCTGGGGTCTGGATTCATTGTCAACTCCATCTCTGACTAACGCGGACACTTCCATGCCAGAGTGCACCATCATGGCCTCACCACCGGGAGATAGACATGTTGCACCCTCAGGCCTCTCGGCCTCGCTGGTGGAGCCCGAGGTCCGTTGGGGGTGCGCCCGCCACTGGCCCGCGCAAAAGCAGCGGACTCTCCTCTTGCATGCTTGTGGCAAGAGCGCCAGTGCGGACACGTAAATCGGGTCGGGCGAAAGGGGGGGATAGCAAAGGGGGGGTTTGAGAATCAGCTCACGTAGCTGATTTTCCCGGCGCCTCCCGGCGCCGGAGGCGGCCATGTATCGAGGAATGGGCCCCTCGGTGAGGCCGAAACTAGCTGCATGCAGCAGATTTCGTAACCCCCCCTTTCCCAATCCCCCCCTTTCGCCCGACCCGAGCAAACACCTGCACGCGGATATGTGCGAAAACAGTGCCTTCCCCTCCAGGGAGTCGATCACGGCACAAAGGCCGCGGGGCCGCAAGGTGCGAACGCCATTTGCGAGGGAGGAGACTCTCGAGCGTGCCCGGCTCTCACAAAGTGTTGGAGCCCCTCGCCCGACCGCTCCCCTGGGCACGTGGTTATACCATCGGCTCGCTCGCTGCGCAAAGCATCGCCACGCGGGGGACCCTGCTGAGCAAGGACTGGAAACGCGCCGCTTTCGTGCGGGCTCGCGTGCACGCGCGAGAGCGCCCTCTCGACGTCGGCGGAGCTCGGGGGGGGGGGCGACGGCGGCGACGTCGCCTCCCGGGCCCCGAAGGCGGACCGAAGTCGGAGCGCTCCCCCGAAGACACGGACTCCGGCAGCCCGAGAGGGAGACACGAGAGGAGGTGGTCTGACAAGCGAGATTGAAGGGGCCCTGGGACACACAAATAAATACACACAGATAAAAGGATTCCCCATATTCTCCCATGTTTTCTGGGTTTTTGTCTTCCCCCCCACTTCCCATATTCTCCCATATTTTCCTGGGGGTCGACGATTAATTGTGTCTGTGTGTTTTCTTCCCTCCTGAGAGAGGTGCGCAGCGGGTTTTGCTCGGGCGCCCCGAGGGCCCCGGGAACCAGCAGGCACCGCGGCCGGCGCTGGGCCCCATGTGCAGGGGCCGAAAGCGGCCGCGTGCAGCAGCTGCCCCCCGCCCGCTCGGACGCCGGGTGGCCTTTGGGTCACATAGCTCGACCCTCCCGAGCAATGAAAAAATCATGACGGGAGGTTTTTCCTAGTTTTCGGCCTCGGGGGGCCCTCACCGGGCCTCGGGAGTGTCAAAAAACGACTCAGGATGCAAAGCCGGTCGTGGAGAAAGGGTCGGGACCTACGGGGGTCGACGTAATGAAAAAATCATTACGTCGGGGGTCTGGGTAGCTCGACCCTCCCGTGGCCGCTCAGCCCGATCACACGAGACCGATGTTCTGCATCACAGCAGCAATTTCGGCCTCTGACGTTCGTCCTGGGCTCGGTTCAGTGAAGTGATGAATGTCGGGGTCCTGGCGTGGGAAAAAACATCGCTTCACTAATCTGGGGCCCCTGGGGCCTCAGTGGGCCCTGGGGCCCCAAATTAGTGACGTGATGGTTTTCGGGCTTCGGAGATCAGGGCATCCCCGGAACGCCCTCGGCGAGGCGCAGCCGCTGCAACGCACCCCGAGGCACGAAAAAAAACCGTCGAAGGCCACGAAAAACGCCGAGAGCCTCACTATTCTACGCCCCGTGGCCGAGAGCTCGACTCGAGTCTCCTGTGGCCGTTCAGCACGATCAAGGCATCCCCGGAGCGCCCCCGGCGAGGCGCAGCCGCCGGAACGCACCCCGAGGCACGAGAAAACACCGTCGAAGGCCACGACAAACGCCGCAGAGCCTCACTATTAGACGCCCCCGGGGTTGGCCGCCGCGCCGAGGCGCCCCGCTGCACGGCCAGAGGCACGACGGGACCGCCGGGCGTCGAGGACCGCACCGCCGGAGCCCTCCACTTCCCGTCCACTTCTCGTCCATTCCCGGCCGGACCGGGCGTCGAGGACCGTCCAGTTCCCCTGCGTTTTTAGGTTTCGTACGTGTCTTTTTTGCTCGATGGTCCAGGATGGTCCTCGATGGTTCTCGCCGAGAAAAAATGCACACGTCCGAGCGATGCCAGGTCCAGGGGCCTCAGCGGCGAGCCCGGGAACGCCATGGGGTGTCCTGGATGCGGTCGGAGTAGATGGGGTCGGAGGATCGCGCCGCAGCGATGCATCGGCGATGCATCGGCGACGTCGACGTGGAGCACATCGGGCACCACATCGAGCCGCATCGCCGATGCATCGGCGATGCGGCGCGATCCTCCGACCCCATCTTCTCCGACCCCATCTAGGAGGCCTAGATCCCGTTGCTCTACACCACCCAAGGCATCGGGCGGGTCCCACACCTCTCGGGCCAGGTTCTCACCCCGAACGGGTCACTTGGCAGCCCTGGAGCTTGAAGAGGCCGCCCCTGGAGGCCTAAAATGAAACAGAAACGTCCGCCGTCTCTGTTTCTTGGATCTGCCAGATGCCTGGCACCTCCTCCTCCTCCTCCTCCTCCTCCTCCTCCTTCTCATCATCATCATCATCATCATCATCATCATCATCATCATCATCAGCATCAGCATCAGCATCAGCATCATCATCATCATCATCATCATCATCATCATCAGCATCATCATCATCATCATCATCATCATCATCATCATCATCATCATCATCATCATCATCATCATCATCATCATCATCATCATCATCATCATCATCATCATCATCATCATCCTCCTCGTCCGTGACTGTTGGAGCCGTTCCACAGTGCGCTTTTGACTATGGTAGGGTAATGGCTTCTCGACCCGTTACATACCCGGTGGAGTCCCCATGGCTGGGCTTCGAGCCTGCTGGGGGGGGGGGACTCGATTCTCTCTTTTGACACCGCCAGGGCTACGGCCGCTCTTGTGCGCACAGCGGTCGCCAGGTTGCTTCGAGGGGCTTTCAGAGACCATGACTTGTTCCGCCGCCACCTCCTCCTCCTCCTCCTCCCGCCTCCTCCTCCTCCTCTTCCTCCTCCTCCTCCTCCTCCTCCTCCTCCTCCTCCTCCTCCTCCTCCTCCTCCTCCTCCCCTCCTCGCCTTCCAGAGGGCCAGCAGCCACCATATCCAAGGTCTCGGCAGGAGCGAATGCAAGGGCCACCGAGCCACTGCACAGGGCAGGTGGAACCGTCTTTTGGGAGGGGCCAGCGCCCGACCACGGGGAGAGGCCCTTGGGCTGAGAGCCCCTGGGCCATGGCAGGTCCCTTCTACGTGCTATCCTGCTGATCCTGCTTCTCCAGCAGCTCGTCGTCTTCCTCCCTGGCAGGCGCGCCACGCGCTATGTGCACGAATTCCTGTACGGCGGCGGCGAGGGCAGGCCGGGCCGCCCAGCAGCTGGCCCGCTCGCCCTCCCGCGTGCAAGCGCCAACAGGACAGCGACCGACGTGCTGTCCATATCCTCCCCAGAGAGGCTCACTCCAGACGGAAGGATGGCTGACGGCGAGACCGAGCACTCTCCGCGCGGGCTCGCTCCGACTGGACGCCGCCTCTGCCGAGTCTTGCTCCCGCCAGGGCTCCGCACCTGGCCCCCGGGATCTGCCAGCCTGGAACATATCCCTATCCCTACGGCAGGTTCGCGTCGTGTCGACCCCGGCGTTGGTTTCTGACACCGCGGGGATCGTTCAACCTTGAACGATCGGCCGCTTCCGAAACGTCCAAATCGTTCCACATGGAACGATGCTGGGTCGCCCGCGGCGTTCAAGGTTGAACGCCGCTGGCGGGGTCGCCGCTGGTCGACACGACACTAACCTACCGTATGCTGGGCACCTCCTCATCACGATGCCAAGCTTGGGGATTCCCTTATTTTTTGAGGGCGGATCCCTGAGATTGTCATCGCCTTTTGGCGTGTCAATCTTAGGGATAGGGATACGTTCGAGGCTGGTAAGGGATGGTGGCACGGAAATGAAATCCGGCCCCTGGGGAGCCCGCTTCTGCCCACGCCGTATATGCCCCTGGAGATGCCCCGAGCGGGGTCCGTGACGAACCAGCAACACACACCCATGTCCATAGGGGGGTCGGAGAGGGCCATGGGTGCGTGTTGTCGCATGGGGGTCCCCGCTCGAACGGGAGCGTTCCCCAGGATCCGACCACCCGCACCCATAGCCAGTCCTCCTCCCCACGACCCCCCTATGGGTATGGGTGTGTGTTGTTCGTTCGTCAGTCCGTGGCGAGGGCTCATGTACAGAGCGCCGGTCGCCAGACAGAGGCTGCTTCGGCCGCCGAGTTCCGCAGAAGGAGACGGGTCTGAGAGTCAGCTCTGCCAGGACGGCTTGCCAGGGCCTCGGAGCAGATGCAAGAAAGGAGACGAGCGGTGAGGGCAGGAGAGCCCAGAATCAGGGGGCCACAGGCGAACCCTACCCCCCGAGCGAAGTGGACCCCACCCTCGCCCTCAGAAATCGTGGGGGGTAGGGGTAGGGTTCGCCTGTGGCCCCCTAAGAATCGAATCGATGAGTCGGATCGGCGATCGGGATGTATCGGATCGGCGGAGCTCTCGGCAGCCACGTCGGTAGAGAAGACGCATCGGCAGAAACCGGCAGGCTGGCAGGCTGCCATGGATCACATCGGGACCCGGAGCGGAATCCGAAGGCGAGTCGAAGCGGAATCCGAAGCCATCGAGATCGAATCGGAGGGGTCGAAACGAGCCCTGGGTGCCGGTCGTCAGCAGAATGGCCACGTGCCCACGAGTCGAGCTCCCGGAGCAGCAGCTTCCTGGCACAGCTCACTCTCAGCCGATAGCTGTGCCAGGACGAGCCTCCCTTGACTGCGGCCGGCGAGCCCGTTGGCACGCTCGATTGCCTGTCACGGGATTGCCTCTCCCGAAGGACAGGCTGGTGAAGACCACAGAGATGCAGAGATACAGACCACACCAGGTCTAAAGACCGCAGAATGAGGGAGGCGGGAACGCATCTTCGACCACTCTGCGAATCTTCAGATGCTCGCAGCGTTGAGTAAAGAGACCTCTAAGTGTCCCGTCCTGGTTGTTGCCTTACGTCTCCGAGGCGTCGAGTCCTTTTGATCCTCACACCTTGACTCGAGACAGCAGTACATGGAGGGGGCGTTCACAGTCAGGAGAACATTTGCTCAGCGTGTCGCGGTGGCCCTCGCGACACGCCGTACCTTGCGAGCGGACAGCATGCCGCTCCGCTTCACGGGGCGGGATGAGACGAAACCGGGACGAGGATAAAATCGGGTGAGGGTCAATCGAGAATCTCTGAGGTCCAGCGGCTCTGGAGAATGTATCGGGCGCCGCGGCCTCCTAAGACCTTTTCGGAACGCTCTGAGCGCTCCAGAACGCTCTGGAAAGACTCGTCCTCGTCCCAGCTCCGTCCGACGGGATGCTGGGAAAGGCCCAAGACGTTGACGCTCGGGGACAGCAGCGTGGTTCGCTCGAGACACCTCCAAGCTCCACCTCGGGGAGACCTCGTGGATCTCCTCCCGGGAGGTCCCCAGACCGCTCCAGCAGCATGGCGCCCCGCTCCGCGCGCGCGCCCGGCTCGAGAGGGGGCAGTCAAAGGCGAGGCCTCTCGGCGAATCCGACGACCCTGGCCTGGGCTCAAGCACAAACTGCCCGAACGTCTGACCGGGAGGCGGAGGGAGGAGAAGGCGGAGGAGGGACTCCGGCCACCTTTGAAGCCCGGGTCCCTCGGTCCGGCTGAACGGGCGACGCGTGAGCGCGCACTCGGCAGGGGACAAGGAAGCGCGCGTCGTGCTGACGCGCGCGAAGCGTGGGCGGGGTCGCACAGCTGATGCGCGCCACGCTCCAAGCAAGCTCTTAGCTGCGCGTGCTCTACATGCTCGCAAGCCTCGGCTGCGCAACACAATCGCACACCTGAGACGAAGAACGAGGCAGGAACTCTCTCCTGGGACGCAGGAGGAGGCCACCTCACTAGAGAAGAAGGCGAGAGGCGAGGCTGCTGCGCCCGCAGTTGCGGCGCTGCCCCACATCACGAAGTGCCTTGGCGTGCCCTGGATCCCGGGCGTCCCAGGATCAGGAGCGGGGGGAGCAGGCAGCGCAGAAGGGCGAGCCAAGGGAGGCAGCTGAGGACTTCTGGAAGAGGGCCGCGGGGAGGGCGGAGGGGCGAAAAGGGTGCCCGCAGTGCCCGCTGGGGCTTTGGAGCCGCCCTGGAGCTGCGGCTCCCGCTGGAGCCCCCAGTCGCCCTCCGGCCCCCGGACTGCGCACCTGCCGCAGCGCTGGCCGCGGTGCCATCGGAGAACTCCTCCTCCTCCTCCTCCTCCTCCTCCCCTCCTCCTCTCCTCCTCCTCCTCTTCCTCCTCCTCCTCCTCCTCCTCCTCATCCCTCATCCCTCCTCCTCTCCTCCTCCTACTCCCTCCTCCTCCTCCTCCTCCTCCTCCTCCTCCTCCTCCTCCTCGGTGCTCCCATCTGTCCGCGGCGCACCAGGGAGAGGGCAGGCGAGAGGGGCAGCCTTGCGAGAGCCCAGGAATGTCGCAGGCAACCGAGGCTGCTGCTCGGAAGGCAGGAGCGGGGCTGCCGGGGCGGCAAGGGCGAAACACACAACGAAGAGAGCGAGTCCGAGGTGTAACACACACACACACACACACACACACACGCGACTCCTTAGACACGCGTCGCTGACGCATGCACAAAGGAAGGGTGTGCGCCTCCATCGCGGGAAGTGGCGTCAGCAAGCGAAGGCGCCATGAGCGCACGAACCCCATTCCACACACACACACACACACGAAGCAAGGATTTGGGGAACGAGCAGCGACATAAACATAACAACTCGTAGGTCGCACGGATTTCCCGGATCGGCGCTTGACCCCCTCCCTGGCGCGCGGAGCGCGCCAGGGGCGGCGCCGGAGGCGCCGCCAGGGGGGGTCCAGCGCGGATCCGAGAAATCCGCGCGGACCTCCGGGGTTTTATGTTTATGTCAGTGCTCGTTTCCCTGTGGCTGTGCGACCCCCAACCCTCGGAACGCCCACTGGCTTTGGGGTCACGACGTCCCCAGAAGCGCAGCACCAGCACAAGAGAGGAGAGGACCACCCCGGGCAGGGCAGTCACACACCCCCAGAGACGCAGCTGTCACGGGCCCCTGCCGCAGAGTGCCACAGCCAAAGAGGTGGGGCATTTGGCGGCGCGATAGAAGACGCGGGTCTTACATCTACAGAGAAGGCCCGCGCCTTCTATCAAGCAGGGGCGCTTCTAGGAAGCCTTCCCCCCCTCCCCGTATTCCCCTCTGCGCGTGGCCGAGCCAGTCAAAGAAGTGACGCATGGCGACCGATTCCAGACCGATCCTGGTGCTCGATTCCAACGACTGGGATCATGTTGTTCCCGTCGTTCTTGAGGACCACATCCCAGAGATAATTTCGAACACCCAGAAAAATATTGAAACAATGTCGAACGAATATCGCCTCACAGGGCCCGACACGGGAAAACCCTCCAGTTTCGGTACTGTCTTGGTGTTTGAAATTCGCTATGGCGATCAAGGCTACAGCAGGTTGGAACATCATAAGACTGGGAGTGTGTGGGGGCTCAGAAAAAGAGATGGTCGCATAGACGAACGCGGGTACGCGGCAAAATAAGAAAAATAATCGGCACCGCCTCATCCAACTCAACGAACCCCAGTGACACTGGCAAAGCACAGTGGCGGAAATGAAGCTTCGTTGGTCAGCACAGCGCTCCGCAAGCACATCGTCGACGAGCCAGCGGCCTGATCGACAGCCACGTACAGGGCTTTGGAAGGAACAACCACTGCATGCGCCATCGAAAAACTTAATAATCACATCTACGATGAACGCCAAAATAAACGCCATCGGCGCCGGCGAGATTCTTCCCAAGCAAAATCGCGATGCCGAAGAAGGACGCGTCACTGCTCAAGCCAGTGCCGAACCACCATCGGTCGCTGCCAGCCCCACGCTCAAATGCAAGGCCAACTGGTCTGACACACCCAACGCGCTTTTTGTGTTGACCTCCGCTTCGTGACGATGCAGATGAAGCTGGCTCCGCGTCTTATCGTGAGGCCTCACGATGTGGAACGGCACGGCCTGACCACCCAGAGTCACTCAGGGCCACGCTCGTGGAACCATTCTCTCGGACGACGTCTGCAACTCACTGGAGGTTCTCGCACCGGGTGGTTCTACACTCTGACAGCGTGATGGCGAGCGCACTGACTGCCTCCACATGGAGGTAGCGTGGGTGCAGACAAAACACCCACATGCATGTGTAATTACCGTCCAAGACTGCAGCATGACGGGCCTTGTGGCGCCGAAGCCTCACGGAAAAACATGTACACCTGAGAGCGCGACCCCGTGAAAACCATGGAGAGGACCCCAAAACCTCTGCGAGGGCGGGGGTGCCAGAAGCGCCAGGGCCAGCGCCGAAACGACGAAGCCTGCTGCAACACTCGAGCCGCAACGCACCCTTTTATGAGCCGGCGGCCCAAGCGCCTCATCTGCAGCGCGCAACCCCGCGCTCTGAGCCCAGCTGTGCTGGCTCCACGGAGGCTGCGCCGGCTCGGCTTCGTTCAGGGCCAGTTGGCGGGCGCTGGGCGAGGCCCTGCCCCGCGCGGCGGCGGGCGCTCTGGGCAAGCCTGGGAGGGTCGAGGCGTCACTGCCCAAAGCAACCGCGAGCGAGAGGGAGAGCGAGAGGCGACACGCGGCGCGAGACTGCGCACGGGCTGCGACCCAGGCTCTGTGGCGACTCATGAGAGCCCCCCACACCATCTTGTCGGCTCTTGCGAGTGGACCCTAGTCGACAGCAGATCGACGGTGATCGACGCTCGATCGACGCTCATCGACGCCAAATCGGCGCGATCGCATCGACTCCCAGACGCTAATCGACGCCAGCCGACGCTACAGACGGACTTCAGGGGGTATACCGGGCCCTCATGATTTGCTACCGAACCCAAGGCATGATGAGGCGGCGGGCGAGGGGGGGAAATGAGAAGGAGAAGGCCTTCTCAGAAGGCGCCGGGACTTCTCAGAGCCCTCGCGCCTTCTGTGAAGTTCTTGTCCGTCTTCGGGGAAGGCTCGGGGAATTTCTCCGAAGGCTGCGGAACTTCCGAGGCTTCTGAGAAGGGGAGGGGGAGGGGGAGGAGGAGGAGGGGGAGGAGGAGGAGGAGGGGGGAGGAAGGAGGAGGAGGGGAGGAGGAGGAGGAGGAGGAGGGGGAGGAGGGGGGGAGGAGGAGGATAGGAGGAGGCTTCCGAGGAGGCTCGCCGCCGAATGACGGCAGCACCGCGCGGGGGGCAACGATCCACGGGCGCCGACCGCGAGCGGCCACTGGCCTGGGCAGCGCGGGGGGCCAGGCGCGAAGAGAGCGTGCTGCGTTCCGCCGGCCCCGCGCAGCGCGCCTGGACTCCGAGGCACCGCATGCCATAAAGCACCCAGAGGGTGCAGGTACGCCATCGCGTAACGCTCCCCCTCCTCCTCCTCTCCTCCTCCCCCTCCCCCTCCTCCTCCCTCTTTCTCCTCCTCCTCCTCCTCCTCCTCCTCCTCCTCTTCCTCCTCCTCCCAGGAGGACAGGGCGTAGTTTGTTTGTTGTCCCGAGGAAGTGAAAGCCGCAAGGTGGACTGGGTAGAACAGGCGCTAAGCAGCGCAACGCACTCTCAACTCCGAGGTCGGTCGCCGGCCAGGAGATGGGTTCTGCCTTGGTGGCGGGCCTGCTGCAGGAGCTCACGAGCTTTCTGCTCGGCGCGCTCTTGCGCTCCTGGAGAGGCACCTTAGGGCAGTCCCCACTCAAGACCGTGACACCGCATTGTTTCTGATACAAGTGTTTCAACATGTATATACATATATATATATACACATGCGTACATGTAGAATGCTACGCTCGGATGCCAAGACATAGAGACAGAACCGTTGGCCGCCGGCCGCCGGCCGCGGGCGGGCGGCGAGCTGAGCGCGGCGCCCCTGCGCGGTGCAGCGCGCAGCGCACCCCGGGCTCCGCGGAGTAGCAGACGTCGCGGCAGCGGGCCAGGGCCCCCATCGGAACCGGGTTCGTTAGCGACGACCGGCAAAGAACAGAACGCCATCCACATAAATCCTGCGCGCTCCGCGCGGCTTTCTGGGATCTGCGCTGGACCCCCCTCTCTGGCGCCGCGGAGCGCGCCAGGGGCGGCGCCGGAGGCGTCGCCGGGGGGGGGCCAAGCGCGGATCCAAGAAATCCGCGCGAAGCGCCGAAAGTTTATGTTTTAGGGGCGTTTCTTCTTCATCGAGACGAGCAGATCCATCGCGCAGAGGCCACAGAAGCACCACCGCCCTTCCCTGGCCCTGGTCAGTCACGGTGCTGGTGCATCGGGCGCCTTCTGCGGGCCATGAGCGGCGAACACACTCGGAGCTTCGCAACAAGCGTCGGGGGGGCGTCGCACCCCCCGACAGCCCCCCATCGACCCGTCGCGGGCAGCCACCGCGCGCCGAGGGCGTTCCGACCCCCGTCGCGGCTCGACGACGAGGCGAGGCTGACCCCCGTCGGGGGGGTACCCCGCCACGCTTGTGAAGAAACCCAGAGCATCCATATCCGTACAGTAGGGGCGTTGACCTAAGGAACCCTAAATGAGGAACGAGGCCCCTTTTTCCAATAAGTTAAACTTCGACTTCCCATCGAAACCCCAAGCAAAACCCAGGGCGAACTGCAACACAGCTAAGGAACACCGAGCCCCTCCCTAACGAAAAGGGTTCCTTCCTCAGCGCCCCGACTGTATCCATGCCCTCGTGGTCTGAACTGATGGCCGCGGTCCCACGGCCTCTCGCGATCCCGCTGACGCGCTCGGCGCGGGGCAGCCCGCGCCGAGCCGCGGCTGAGCGTGCCTGCATCCATGCTCACGGGGCCACGGTCGAGGGATCCCAGCCGCGGTGGCACGGACATGATACAGTCGGGGCCTTGACCTAAGGAACCCAAAATAAGGAACGAGGCCCCTTTTTTCCATAAGTTAACCTTCGATTTCCCATCGGAAACATAAGGAAAGCCTGCGGCAAGCTGTGAAACACTTAAGGAACGCGGAGCCCCTCCCCAACGAAAAGGGCTCCTTCTTCAGGGCCCCGACTGTATGCATGTATGGATGTATGGTGTGCTCGCCGCCCACGGCCGCTCCGCGCCCGAGCCCGTGCGGCCGCTGGACGGGCCGCCGCACAGAGGCCTCCTCCTAGAGACGGGGTCCGAGCAGAGCGCGCCGTCGATGCATCGGCGATGCATCAACGATGCGTTGGCGACGTCGGCGATGCGTCGGCGACGTCGGCGCGGAGAAACAGGGGCTCCACATCGAGCCGCATCGCCGAGGCGTCGGCGATGCGGCGCCATCCTCCGACCCCATCTGCTCCGAGCCCACCCGGGAGGCATGGACGCCCGGGGACACCCCATGTGGCCCAACAGGCGCGCCCGTCGAAGAGGTCTGGGCACCGACCCCAGCCAGGAGGCCTAGATTTAGGTCGGGCACGTTCTTCTGCAGGCGGGTTTTGAAAGAACGAAAACACGCACTCCAGAAATATTCAAACATATGCAGAGCATCGTCCCGAAAGTATGTGCTTTGACATGTTTGGATCTTCCTCCTGTAGAGGGACATGCCCGACGAAAGCCTAGACGGACGGGCCGCCGAACCAGGCTCGCCTCGGGCCAGCAGGGCGGGAACCCGAGCCCGCTCTGAAAAGGCAGCCGACGCCGCGGCTGGCTGCCTCGCGACGGCGGGCCCCGTGGGGCCGTCCAGCCGAGGAGCAGGAGGAGGAGGAGGCGGAGGAGGAGGGGGAGGAGGGGGAGGAGGGGGAGGAGGGGGAGGAAGCGGGGGCGGAGGAGGAGGAGGCATCCCCCAGACCGGCTGTTTTCGATAGGTCGGACATGTCCTCCTAGCGGATGTTGGGAGAAAACTTTTAAACAATAGTCAAACAAAGATCAAACACAGCCAAAACAGCACGAAAAATCGCTCCCACACCATCTTGTGAACCATTCTTGCACACTCCTCATGTGGAGGGACATGCCCGACTTCACCCTGGTGCTGTCGAGCCCATCCTCCGGACCGGCTGCTTTCGCCGAGGCTCGTTGATGGACGGTCCAAGGGCTCCAAGCGACGCCCGGGGACGCCCCTGTGGCTCAAAAACGACGACCTACCAAACCACCTCATCCCAACCCCAACACCCGAATTTCGGGTTGGGGGGACACGGGTTCCACATGTGTTCTCTCCGTGTTCCCCGACGCTCCCCCACCGCTGGAAGCGGAGGGCAAACTGGGGCCGTCGGGTTGGGTTGGGGTGGCTTGGTGGGTGGTGAGTTTCGTCGGGGAGATATTCTCCTTCCGGGACTTCGCCTCCAGCTCCTGTCCAAGGCGTACCTTTTCCTGTGCAAGCTCTTCGGCACCGCCTGCACCCCACACCCTCCGGCCGCCTGAGGCCCCGCCTGCCCGCGCCCTGCCTCCCCAATTGGTGCTCCGCGCGCCCCGCCTAGCTCTTGACCGGAAGAGGCCCGCGCTCGACCCGCAGACCAAAGAAAGTTTCGTCGGGACTCGCTGAACCCAGACCCCCGACGTCATGATTTTTTCATGACGCGGTCCCCAGAGGTCCAGACCCATTCCCCAGGACCGGCTTTTCATCCTGAGTCGTTTTTTGACGGTCCTGAGGGCCGGTAAGGGCCCCCAGAGGCCGAAAATAGCGAAAAACCTCTCGTCGTGATTTTTTCATGACTCGAGGGGGTCTGGGAAGGACGGTCCCGGGCGCCGAGGGGCGCCCCGGGACGCCCCCATGGCCCAAGAGCGCGCCCGCCGGTGCCAGGAGCCCTGGGCGACGGCGCCCGCCGGAGGGCCCGATCCGCGGCCGCACGGGCTCGGGGCGCCGAGCGCGCTCCGAGGGGCACACGACCTGGACGCCCGAAAGGGGTACGGAAAGAATGGGTTTGAGTCGGGCGTGTCCCACCACAGGGGGATTCTCGACGAAAAATCAAAAATACCCCCAAAATGGAGAAAAACAAAATGCAAGAATAGTCTGGGGACCATTCTTCTAATATGTTTTGACCATTTGGGAGCATCTTTTGTATCTTTTATTTTCCGTCGAAAAACCCCTGCAGGGGGACACGCCCGACTTAAGAATACCAACAGCGGCGGCTGTTGGGCAGGCGGCCTCCTGCCTCGAAGGGACACACAGGCCGCGGCGGCGCGGACCGCGAGCCCTGCTCCAACGGAACGAGATCCGCTGCTGGGCACTGTACCAGCTCTCTCCGTGCCCAGTTCGTTCGTGCAGATAATCAACCGTCAGCAGCAGCAAGAGGAGGAGGAGGAGGAGAAGGGGGAGGGGGAGGGGGGAGGGGGGAGGAGGAAGGGAGGAGGGGGAGGGGGGAGAGAGGAGGAGGGGAGGGAGGAGGAGTGGCGGGAGGATAGGAGATGAGGAGGAGGAGGAGGAGGAGGAGGAGGAGGAGGAGGATGAGGAGGAGAGGAGGAGAGGAGGAGGAGGAGGAGGGAGGAGGAGGAGGGAGGAGGAGGAGAGGAGGAGGAGGAGGAGGGAGGAGGAGGAGGCAGGCCTGCTCACTGCGCAGCGCCGCCCTCCGCCGCGGGGCCTCGGGCAGCGCGGGGCGGGGCGGGGCGGGGCGCGAGTGCCGCGGCGGGGCCCCGCCGCGCGCCGGGACGCCCTCCCCCGGGGGCTTCCGGCGGCCCTCGCGGCCTCCCTCGGCGGAGCCCCTCCCCGGGCGGCCCTCGGCGGCCTTCGGCGCCGAGCCCTCGGCGGCCAGCGGCGGCCCGCGGCCAGCGCGAAGTCGGGCCTGTCCCCCTACAGGGAGATTTTCGACGAAAAATGAAAAATCAAAAAAAACTCTAAAAAAGGTGCGTTTTTTTTTAAAAAAAAAGAGAAACAAAAACATAAAAACAAAAAAAAAAAAAAAAAAAAAAAAAAAAAAAAAAAAAAAAAAAAAAAGTCCCCAGACTACTTTTTGATTATTTTTTGATATTCCTCCTGTAGAGGGGCAGGCCCGACTTCAGGCCAGCGGTGCCGGGCCCTGGGCAGGGAGACAAGCCCACGAGGCTCCCGTGCGGACGTCGCCATCTGATATCGGCGGCGCGCGAGGGGGGGAACGAGAAGGAGAAGGTCCTCTCCGAGGGCGGCGGGACTTCTCGGAAGCCCTCGCGCCTTCTGAGAAGTCTGCTGCGTCTTCGGGGAGGGCTTCGAAAACCCGTCAGAAGGCCAGGGGGGACCTCCCAGCCTTCTATTCTGAGACGGCCCGCCCCTGCTCACCTCTCCCCCCCCCCCCGCTCGCCGCCGATTCGAGGAGCCATGCGGGGCAAAAGTTCTGAGCTCTCGCCCATCCCAGCCTCTGCTGGACCCCTGGCGGGTCAAAACTGCTCAGGATGGCTCATGATGACAAGCAGGTCTCAAGGGAGGAGACCAAGAGACGCATGCCTCGGGAGCCCTTTCCTTCATCGTAAGCCGCCAGCGAATGACTTGTCGCATCTGCGCGCTGATTTGAAAACACCTTCGTGTCTGGGGTTCGTCTGCGTATGCCGCGGGCCCCTGTGCGTTTTTGCGTTTCCTGGGCGGCGGCATCCGATGTGAACGCAGTCTGGCTTGAACGATATGCAAGTTTGTGTGCCCGCAGGGGAAGAATCAGCTTGGACTGCAATGCACTCTCTTCCAGGCGCATCACCACATGCTATATCTAAATATATGTGTGAACCGCCCTCCTTACTTACCGATGACAGCCGCACTGCTTTCGTCTCGGCAGACAAGTCAGAAATAATATGAGCCCGTCTGGCAACAAACACGCGACAACTCAGATAGTTCACTGCCAATCAGAAGACCATCGATCTGGCCAAGAGGCCTCACGATCGGCCAAACAAGAAGACAAGGGCGAAGATACAACAGCAAAGATCTGGAGGGCAGCGGTCCTGGTGAGGCAGCCCCGTGAGTGCCGCAGGCCGCGGAGAAGCCGCTGGGCACGCAGGCACTGCCGGTGCTGCTGCACGCGTCTCCCATGCCGTCCTGCGCGCGTCTGCACTGTCTCCCTCTGCCCGAGCCTGGCGCGGGCCGTCGCCCGAGCTCGAGCAGAGGGCCGCAGCACTTCTTCCGTCGAGGCCCTGGCCAGGTGCAGCACACTCTCCTCCTCCTCCTCCTCCTCCTCCTCCTCCTCCTCCTCCTCCTCCTCCTCCTCCTCCTCCTCCTCCATCGTTGTTCCTCCTCCTCCTCCTCCTCCTCCTCCTCCTCCTCCTCCTCCTCCCGAGGCCCTGGTCAGGTGTGTGGGGTCGCCGGCAGAGAAGATGGACGCCCTCGCGAAGGAGCGCAGCGGCGAGGAGCAGGCCGCTCAGCGACCGCGCAGGAGGCGGCAACAGGCCAGAACACACAGGGATCAGGATAAGGGTAAGAAGCAGGATAAGGATGAGGACAAGGATCAGGATGAGGATAAGGATCCTTATCCTTATACATATCCTTATCCTGATCCCGATCCTTATCATTATCCTTCTTCTTATCATTATCCTTATCCTGATCCGTATCCTTATCCTTATCCTTATCCTTGATTTCTTAGTCCGCGGGCGCCGAGTGTCGGCTACACGCAAGAGTGACCCTGGGTAAGAGTGAGCTGTGGTGCGCGGCCTTTTGGGGGGCGCGGGGAGACCAAACCCTGGGCGCGTAAGCCGCTGCTACTGCTTCTTTTTCAGCAATCTGCGGGCCCACCTGTGCCCGCACCAAAGGTCACTCCGGCGAAAGGTCACTCTTACGTCTAGTTGAGAGTGGTCCAAGACAGTCAGACGCCGGTCAGCAAGCGACAAGGCAGAACACACACACACACACCACCGCAGATAGCACGATCTTGCACCAGCGAAGGCGCCACTCTTCCAGGCACCTCTGCGGCGGGGGCGCGGCGCAGAGCCTCACCCTGAGTTCGGGAAGCTGTGGAAGCTTACGCCGGGGCAGCCTCCCATGCGAAATACGAGGGCGCGACACGAGTCTCCGAAGAAGTTGATCCATCGGAAGCTCACCTTTCGCATGATTCTGGTGAGATCCCACATGATGTGCGGAATGGAACTCCACCTCCCATGCAGACGTCGCGCGCACAAAGACACACACACAACAAAACAAACAAACAAACAAACAAACAAACAAACAAACAAACAAGCACACGAACGTACGCACACACTTGATAGGTCAGGATCGAAAGTGCCGAAGGCAAGGCCGCTCCGCGCAAAGCTCCTCGCTCCTCCTCCCTCCACCTGCTACCTCATCCTTCCAGCCTCCTCCCCTCTACTCCCTCATCTATCGTGCCTCCAAGCCTCCTTGTCTCCGCCTCATCTGGGACCCAGCTCCACTTCCTTTCCTACACCACCATCGTTTCGTCGTCATCAGCATCAGCATCAACATCAGCATCAACATCAGCATCAGCATCAGCATATCATCATCATGATCAAAATCAGCAGCTTTGCTTCTTTATCCTCATCATCAGCATCGTGGTCATCATCATCATCATCATCATCATCATCATCATCATCATCATCATCATCATCATCATCATCATCATCACCATCACCATCACCATCACCATCACCCTCACCATCATCATCATCATCATCATCATCAGCAGCATCATCATCATCATCATCAACGTCATCACCATCATCATAATCATCATCATGATGATCATCATCATCCTCATCATCGTCAGCGTCATCAACGTCATCGTCTTCGTCATCATCAGCAACAACGGCATCAACATCGTCCCCTTCACCATCGCCTGTCCGACTCCTCCGGCTCCTCGTCTTCCTCCTCCGCCGCCTGCTCCGCCCACCTCCTTCTCCTCGTCTCGCCTGGGCCCATCTGCTCAATACGGGAGTCACCTCTGGGGCACTGGATGCTGGCAGAGGTCCTGGTTTCTTTTGAGTCATGTCGCACGGTAGCCCTTGCAAGGACTTGTGGCCTTTGCCAGCTATATGCTGCACGACGATACATGACGCACGCAGTATGATAACGAGGCACACTTTTACTCACAGGGCCGTTTCTCGTACTTTCCTCCTCCTCCTCCCCTTCCTCCTCCTTCCTCCTCCTTTCTCCTCCTCCTCCTCCTTCTCCTCCTCCTCCCACTCTTTTCTCGATCGGCTCCCTGTCACCTCCTGTCCGCTTCCCGCACCCCATGTCTGCCTCGCCCATCCCTCCTGCCTGCCCCCCTCCTCCTTCCGCTGTCTCTGAGACAGTGCATGGGAGATCTGGAAGCTTTTTAAATCCGCGGGCGCCAATGGGTCAAAGGCAGTCAGACGCAGGCGGTGGGATACACCAGAGATGAACGGGGGCGCACGAAAGCCTCAAGGACAGAGCGCGAGGGGGAAGAGGAGGAGCCCGCTGAGACCGTGAACGCCGACGCGGGAATGCCGAAGAAGAACTGCACGCGAGCCGCGTGCAAGCAGCGGAGGCGAGATCCAGAAACTGGCAACCCTCGGCTACACGCAAGAGTGACCCTAGACGAGAGTGACCGCTGGTGCGCGGCTTAACGGGGTGCGCGGGGTGGCTAAACCTGGGCGCGCAAGCCATTGCTACCGCCTCGCGCTCAACGCTGGACCCGTACCGAAGGTCACTCCGGGGAAAAGTCACTCTGGCGTCTCTTCGAGACCCTGCGCCACGACCGGCAACGTCCAGGCCCAGCGTGGGCCGCGGACGGGCGCAACATGAGCACCCTCCTGGCCGACCTAAGCCGGGAGGGCGCGCCCAGACAGCAACGTCGCAGGAGGGCGCTCAGAGCTCGTCTCCCCCCCTCCACGGGGCGCGCTTTATCGCGCAGGACTGCCCGTCGGTCGACGGGAGCAGGTAGACACAGGAAGTACTGGCGGCGCGCTCGAGGGGGAAGGGGGAGGGGGGAAGGCCTCTTAGGATGAGGCTGCTTCCTAAGAGGCGCGGGCCTTACATCTCTGAAGAAGGCCCTCGCCTTCCAAGAAGCAGCGGTGCTTCTAAGAAGTCTTCCCCCCTCCCCCCTACCCCCCTCTGTTGCTCTCTGCGCGGGCTCGGGCCCGCCCAGAGAGCAACAGAACACAGCACAGACATACCAAATCTTGGAGTAGGAAGGTGCGTATGCAGTAGACGGGAATCTGGAAATCCAGAAAGACAGATTTTCGACGACCAGCGTGCCAGGCTCGAATTGCCCCCATCTCAAAGTGAGGCGCCGAGCACGTCAAGCAGCGCCTCCAGGTATGATGGGCCAGTTTCCCACCACCATCATCACAGGTCGGACGGGGGAGAAGGGAGGCTGGGGAGGTCCGCCTCCTCCTCCCCCTTCTCCTCCACCTCCTCCTCCTCCTCCTCCTCCTCATCCTGCTCCTCCTCCTCCTCCTCCGCCTCCTGCTGCTCCCTGTCCTGCTCCTCCTCCTCCTC